TTTTCGTGTGGCACTCTTGGACATTTTGTGTTATTATTTGAAGATTTTTTTTTCTTTTCCTTTTTTTTTTTGTGGCCCACTTGCACAAAAATTGATTGGAACAGAGTCAGTTGGGCGTGGTGCCTTTAAAGATATGCTATCTATCATTTTTACCTTATGTTGACAGCACTAATTGAAACTCAGGAGTGGCTTTTCTGAAATGCATCAGGAAATCTATGAGTCAGTATTTTGGGTCTTTTTAATGATCTGCTTTGGGATAGATATTCATCTGCTTAGGATGTCTATCCATCTATTTCTTGTTTTAAGAAACAACTGCCTTGATGTTTTGTGGGGGGCACTTTTAGAGGTTCTAGTTTCTATGAGCCCAAGGGAATTTTCTGGTGAAAACAGAGACAGTTGCTGAAAGGTGTTCATTTTGTCACAACCATGACTAAGTGGATTATAGGATGGGCCAGACTAGGGATAATTGACACATACCCACAGGGTTAGGTGGAGCCTGGAGATCTGGACAGAGGAACAAGGCTAGAGGTCTGTTTTGAGTCCAGAGTGGAACTGGCCAAGGAAAACGACAGGTGGAATGTAGACACCATTTGTCAAAATCCAAATGGAGTTGATGATTTTGAGTATCTTCTATGAATACAAGGTGTGGGGTAGGTAATTGGTAGAGGTTCAAAAGGAAGGCAACTGGTAAAATTGGGAAGATTTAATAGTTGGTATCAGAGATTCAGTCATATAGATAGTGGGGTACATGGCATGAAATCCAATCCCTGGAAAGGACTGGAATATAAGGCAGAGAACTCCATTGTTGAGATATAGAGCAGGGAATATAGTCAAAATTTATCAGTCATTTACTAGATGCATTGTACTAATGATAGACAGGGTTTAGATAAGATATGGTCCTCGTCTTCTTAAAAATTATAATGTAATAGAGGATATAATTCATAAACAGATAAACATAATGCAAAATAACCTACAATAGATACATCAGAGAAGCACAAAACAATGGTTTTTGGGAAGGGTTTTTTGGTTCTGTTTAAGCGAATTAAAGAGGCTCGAGTATCTGGTAGTAGGGGAGCAGTTCATGTCAAATACTGTCAGGAAAAAAAGGAAGATAAGGACTGGAAAAAATTACTTGGATATGTTGATGTGGAGATCATTGTTGACCTTTTGACAGAGCAGTTTCAGTAAAATACTGAGGGCATAAGTTATTCTGCAAGGATTAGAGGAGATGGGTGATAACGAAGTAGAGGAATCAGATGCAGTCACCTTTTTTCAAGAGTTTGGTTGTGAAGAGAAAGAGAGAGAGGAAAGAAGCTGGATGGAATAGAAAAATCAAGGCTGTCCCTTTCCAGGATTGGGGGAGTTCTGACTATGTTTATAGGCCAATGGGAAGGAGCCAGGAAGCAGTATGGGAAAGATTGAAGATGCATGGGAGGAAAAACTGCTGGAGTGACATCTTTAGGAAGGCTGAAAGGGTCAAGGGTTCAAGCACAGAGATAAGTCTTAGAGAAGAAGACTTCTTCCTCTGAGACTAGAGGGCATGGAGGAGTAAGTAATAGTGCTAAAAAGTTTTATGAGCGGAGAAGGGAGTTGCCATCATATGGTCTCATTCTCAATGAAGTAGGAGACTAGCCATCTCTCATTACTGTGAAGTGTGAGGGTATCATTTTTTACCAAAACCTGAGCAGAACCTTCAATAAGAATAATTCAGTGTTAAGCTAAGCAACCACTTGTACCTTTCTATTTCCCCTTTATAGAACCAGAATTGGTCCCAAATCTCAGGAGGAAGTGGGTCTCCAAAACGGGGGTGAAATACGGGGGAGAAATATGGCAGATCATCACCTATAGAGGATGCCAGCAGGTGCGTTATTGAGTCGGATGCATCAATCTGTAGATTATTAGATTTAAAACAAATCCAGGTGTGCCTAAATTTTGATTATATTGGTTAGTCTGGGCAGGAGGTGGTCACGTTTAATGATTTCAGGTATTAATGTAACCAACCTCTGAGGATCAAGTTGGTCAAAAGGCATTTATTAAGTGCTTACTATGTGCTATGCACTTTGCTAAGTGCTGGGGATACAAAGAAAGGCAAAAACAGTTCCTGCCTTCAGGAAGCTTACCTTTTAAATAGGTGAAACATCTAAATAACTAAATGTGTGTGTGTATACACACAGAGAATGAATAGATGGAAGATAATCTGAGAGGTGAAGGCACTAGCAGCTGGGGGGTTGGTAAACCAAGAATGCCTCATGCACAAGACGGTTTTCAGATGAATCTTTTGTAGCAAGCCAATGAAGCTAAGAGGCAAAGTGGGGAGGGCAGATGAAGCAGAAGTACTAAGTAAGCAGGTAGTGGGAAGGGTGTAGAAAACAATAATAACGAGAAAACTCCCTACCCCACTTCTTTTCTCATTCTGTTTCTTCTACCAGTCTCCTCTTTGTCCTCTTCCAGTGATCCAGAAAGCTACATCTGACCCTGTACAGATTCAAACTTCAGTCTCTCTATGAAAAGCCATGCTGTGGTTCTCAAAGTGTGGTCCAGGGACCCCTGGGTCTCCTAGAGACAGGGCATACTCAAGGTCAAAAACTCCTTTCATAATAACACTAATGTGTTTTAATTTTTAATACAGTAAATATCTCTCCATCCATCCATCTATCTATATCTCACATAAACAAATGCTCTTGTGGGGGGGTCCTCAATAATTTTTAAGGGTGCAAAGGGATCCAGAAAACCAAAAAGTTTGATGATTCTACTCTAGTTGACAGAACGCCAGCCTTGGAGTCATGAAGACCTGGTTCCAAATAATGCCTCAGATACTAGCAGCCTGATCCTGGCTAAGTCACTGCAACTCTCTTGCCCTCAGTTTCTCATCTGTAAAAACGGGGAGGTTGTAATAAATAGTCTCTAGAGACATTTCAACTTGAAGTCATTAATCCTAAACTCCTCTATAAAATGAAGGGATTAAGTACATGATTTGTAAGGTCCCTTCCAGCTTTAAATCCCATGGTTCCTCTCTTCTGAGTAGCTGAGAAGTGTGGCTGTATGGCCACTGTGCTCAAGTCAGGGTTTCTCTCGATTTTCCGAGCCGAGTGATTGTTTAGAAATTTAACTTCAAAAAACATTTAACTAAGTACCTACTAGGAAGAGAAAACTCTATTAAACAGATAAGAAAAGAAGACTAAATAAAAACACAGTCCTGGCTTCCCCCACCAGTGACTGGAGTCAAGTTACTTGATCTCTCTGAGTCTCAGTTTCTCCATCTGCAAAATGGAGACAACAATACCAGCACCAGCTATCCCTCAAGGTTGTAGTGACGGGAAAGTTGTGGGTTGTTGTTTCCTTCATATGAGTTGTTATTATCACTCCATTGCTCCTTCTAGACTTTTTCTATGACTGCTTCTGGTACAAAGTTATCAGGAATTTATAAAAGGTCTGCTTTTTAAAAGCAAAAATACGGGACTTAGAATTTAAAAGGGGCAGCTAGGTGACTCAGTGGATAGAGCATGGACCCTGGACCCAGGAAGACCTGAGTTCAAATATGGACTCAGACACTTACTAGTTGTGTGACTCTGGGCAAGTCACTTAACCCTGTTTGCCTGAGTTTCCTCATCTATAAAATGAACTGGAGAAGGAGATGGCAAACCACTCCAGTATCTTTGCCAAGAAAATCCCAAATGGGGTCAGAAAAGTCAGACATGATAGAAAAAAAAAAACGACTGAATAACGAACTATACTTTGTCATTCAAAATACTTAAACGCCTCTCCTTTAATTTCAAACAGAGCCACCATTCCTAAAATGACTGGGACAAGGGATTAAGCCTCAGGACATTCCTACGGAGAGGAAAAACTTCCTCAAACAACCTTCCCATATGAATTAAACTGACTAGCCCCAAATTCTTCAATTTTGGGATCCTCCCAAAGGAAACTATTCATTACCGGGAATTAATCAAAGAGTCAATAGGAGGGGAATGGAAACTGAAATGTAATAACCTGCAAAATTAAAAAGTGTTAAGTGTTTAAAACTGCACTAAGCCTTTTACCTTGTGAATGTACACGGATGGATTTAAGTATCGTATTCGTGTGTGATTACATACAGTTGCCTAAGTGTGGCCAGGCATTGCTTGACTAATTATTCAGTATCTAGCAAACAGTTTGTGCCCATTTCACCGATTACATTTTGCTCCCCATTCAGCTCGTGAAGTTTGCTACTCACCTCCCGTCCCATCCCCCCCTCCCCCAGCCCCAGGCTTAGTTAGGCTCAGGCTCCTGGCAATTTACCTGGGACACATTTCCCGGGCTAGGAAGGATAACACAGCCTTTCACATATGCCTAAAAAAGAGCAGCAGCATTCCACCGATTTTATTTTTTAATTCAAAATATTCCCACGTCTGTCATTTGGTGGCAGAGGGAGAAGGAGAGAGAAAAGTCATAGTAGCTATTTGTTTTTGGTTTACTCAACATATTTGTTATAGGGGTTTTCGTCTTTTTTTTCCCAAGGAGGAGAGGGGGTAGGGAGACAAAATAGATTTTTTGTTACATTAAAATTTTTTTAAAGTCAAAGTATCCTTATTTTTTCTTTTTTTAATTAAAGGGTTGAATGGCTCGTAATTTTTAACAAGATGACATTAGACGGCCACGTTTCCATACACAATCTAGCCAAGTCCTCAGGGTCAGGACCCTGGAGATGTTCCTTTAGGCTCCTGCCTTTCGTCTTGGATTTTGTGAACTAATCCGATTTTCCCTGAAAGAGGCGAAATTTGATTTCCCTCCCAACATTTTTAGGAAAGAAAGTAAACTGAGTAGCTGGAGGAAGCTCAGAGTGACCTCAGACTGAGGTCCCGACATAAGTAAATAAATGAAAGAAGCCCTGAGATCCCAAACCATCCCTCCTGCTCCCTCCTCCCACGTCCCCCCACCTCTCCATGCCCAGACCCCCGGGCCCCCGGCCCTGAAGTTCGACGACGCGACTTCCTAAACCAAGCAAGGTCCTCTTCGCCTACCTGGGGTGTCCAAGCAGCGGAAGAAGCGGTGGACTCCGCCGATTACCATCTCCCATGGCTCCGCGTGCGTCTGGCGTGTGAATGTGAAAAATGTAAGGCTGCCCTGTTTAGCCAGAGAGTTTGCCTGACCTCTGGATGAGCCACTGAAGTTAGTGTCATTGGGTATTAAGGTATCATGTGACTGCAGATGAAAATAAAATCCTTCAAAGTTTGCATTTAATACTTCCGAGAATCTGTAACCCTTTACCTGCGTGCAAGCCAGGCGCGGATGGAGCCTGCCAACGAAAACTTACTTTCTATTTGCGGTTGAAGGAGGAGGGGGTAAAAAAAAAAGGGGGGGGGGAAGAAAGAAGTAATTGAATCCAACGCTTTGGGTCCCAAGAGTGCTCCAGGAAGAATGCCATTAAGCTGGCATATTTTGTACCTGCAGCCCTTTTAAGAAATCAGACCAATCCGGGGTGGGCAGATTTGGCACAAGGTGGAAATCTCTGACTCCTAGCGCGTTCCCCCACGCCACGCAAGCCTGACGCTTCTCCCCCGCTCAGAGCGCGGAGAGCGCTGTTGAAATCTGGACCAAGTGAAGCAGAAAATCCAAAGTTGGTTTTGAGAATGACACCTGGGCTTCTTGGGAGGCGTCTTCGAATGCTCTCGGGGTAGTGGTGGGTTTTTTTTTGTTTTTTTTTTTTGTTTTGTTTTGTTTTTCTTCCTTTAAAGAAGATAAGGGAGTGTAGCCGCTCTTGGTTTGAGTTTCCTACCAAAGGAATATAGACGACTAAGCAAATTAAACGGATAAGATCTTAGAATGGGAGAGTTGGCAGGGCCCTGCCTCTTACATTGTGGATAGCAGTGACTTAGCTTCAGGGAAACTTGGGTTCCAAGCCAGCTTCACACAAGTTCATGGAATCCAAAGCTGGAAGGGGCCTCAGACGTCTTGACGTTCTCTCTCCCCCCACCTCTCTCTCTTCCCCGCGTGTCTGTCTGTTTCTCTCCTCTCTCTCCTTCCCTCTTTTTTTTTTTTTTTTGGCTAGGCAGTGGGGTTAAGCGACTTGCCCAGGGTCACACAGCTAGTACGGGTCAAATGTCTGAGGTCGCATTTGAACTCAGGTCCTCCTGACTTCAGGGCCAGTGCTCTATCCACTGCGCCACCTAGTTGCCCCCCCCCTCATTTACAGTTGAGGAAACTGAGGCCTAGGTGATATGCCCAAGGTCATGCTGTAAGACGCTGGATTTGAAGCCATGCCCTCTTGACTTCTGAGCCAGCCCTTTTGCCAAAGAACTTTCTCTTAGCTTCAGTTTTCTCATCTAAAGTAGTGATGATGTATGTTGTGTTTAACTTCAAAGGGTTTTATCAGGTAAAATAATGCACTTTATAAAATTAATAAATATATTTGTAAATATAAAGTTAAGAGCTTTCCAAACCTTAAAACGCTAGGTAAGTTACCATTATTAACATTTTAGAATCGGAGACGCTTAAACACAAATCTTTCCTCATGGCTACTAAGAAGGTTAAAGTAAATCATTGGTCTTTTTGTTTGGACCTTATGCAAATGGGGCTAGAATGATTCACAGGCTGACCCCCTCACTCAGTTTAGCAAGTCCATCATTCAAACCAGTCACCACTGTGCTCAGAGATGTGGATTATGTCAAAGTTTTAATGGGGTTGTGGTGAGGTGGGGGTCACGGCGGGGAGAAAGGGGGATGTTTCCTTGGCTTTAAAATCTTTACACATTCAAATCACCCACCAGAGACGCTAAGAAAAAGAACCTCCTGGCTAAGTGTGTTGGACAATTGCGCCACCTAGCGTCCCTGTCTTCAATATTCGCTTCAGGAAGTGACCAAGGATTTGTAACCAAAAAATTTTAGCTGGTTGTAAGAACGTATTGATAAAGATGGAAACATATATTCATAAGATTCCAAGACTTATGGCTGTAAAGGATTTTAGGGATCATGTAGTGCAAACCTCTAATTTTATAGATGAATGCCCTGAGATCCAGAGAGGTTAAATAGCTTGATAACAGGCAGAGCTGAGGTTTGAACCCAGGTCCTCTAGAGATCTAATGCTCTTTCCCCTGCCTCACACCGCCCCTTTATTGTCCCTTTTAATATCCTCTGTCAGTTTCAGTGATAGCGTTTTTTTATTTCTTTCCTGAAGTCCATCTTTGAACATTGCTTGACATCCCCAAGTTTTTAGATGGAGATCTCTGAGTAGCTTAAAAATGATAACCGTTAGAGAAAATTTTGGAAATGTAACGATGTTATAGTTTTTAGTGGTCTCATTTAATTAGATCCTGTTCCAGTAAGTCAGCCCTAGAACTTTCAATTCTATAATGAGATGGAAAATTTTAAAAACATTCATTCCTATTCGTTTACTTGGGAACATTTAACTACAACTCTTAAGCATGGTTACACCAGACCAATACCTATGTTCAATTAGCTAATTCAATCCAAAACATCCTTTAGTACTGTTATTTAGACTTAGAATAAATAAGCCATAAGCTGGACATAATTTCAGCTGATTCCGCCTATTAAACCAAACTGCATTCTTACTTAACCTATACTCTAGCAATTTAACTATTCACTACTACTCTTTAAACACATACTATGTTATCCTGTCTGCTTGTCTTGACGTACACGCATCCCTACTCCTGGAATGTCCTCCTTTTATCTCCATCTGTTGCCCCAAGCCTGGAATGCCTTTTTTCTATCTCCATTGTCTTTCAAAGTAAGCTCAAATGTCACTTATAGAAGTCCACGAAGCCAGAAGAAACTCACTGATGTCTGAGCTTTCATAACATTTTATACCTTCTATGTGCTTAGAGAGTTGCAAGTTTATATGATTTATAGCAGAAACGGACCACAGAAGGGACCAGAAGTGTTCTGGAGTCAGAGGATATGAAATCAAAATCTGGCTGTTGATCTTATGTTTGCAGCATCTCTCATATATGCTCCTTTCTCTCCTCTGTCACTGCTACCACTCTAGTGTGGGTATTCATCACCTTATCCCTGGATTATTGCAGTAGGTGGGCCTACCTGCCTCTGGTCTCTACCCAGTCCAATCCATCCTCCATTCTGCCCCTAAAGTGACTTTCCTAAAGTGCAGGTCTGATCATGTCACCCCACCCCTGCTCAATAAACCCTAGTGGCTCTCTATTGTCTTTTGGAGCAAATACAAAATGCTCTATTTGGCAATTCAAGTCCTTTCTTACCTAGCCCTTTCCTACCTTTCCAGTTTCTTACACCTTACTCTCTGCCACTCTCTTCGATCTAACACTGGCCTCCAGGAAGTTCTATGGACAAGACACTCCATGTCTCAGCTCTGGGCATTTCCTCTGGCTCTCTTCTCAGCCTGCAACGCTCTCCTTCCTCAGCTCCACCTATTGACTTCCCTGGCTTCCTCTAGGTTCCAACTGAAATTCCACCTGCTATAGGAAGGCTTCTCCAAACCCTCTTAATTCCAATGCCTTCCTTTGTTAATTATTTCCTATTTATCTTGTATATAGCTTGCTTTGTATGTGTTTGTTTGTTGTCTCTCCCATTAGATTGTGGGCTCCTTGAGGGCAGGGACTGTTTTTCGCCTCTTTTTGTATCCTAAGTACCTAGCACAGTGCCTGGCGCACAGTAGGTCCTTACTGTTTATTGATTGATAGACTTTGCCATTTACTACTTGTTCTCCTTGGAGGAGTCACTTTCCCTCTCTGAGACTACTTCTGTAAAACTTCCTGTAAAACAAGGGGATTAGACCAGGTGACATCTAAGATTCCTTCCGACTCTGAATCTTCGATGTGGTCCAACCATCTTATTTCATATGTCACAAAACTAAAGCCCAGGGATGTTACATATCTTGCCCAGGGTCTTCCTCCTAGTAAGAAAGGGAGTCAGAATTTGAATCCTGGACTACGAATCCAGTGCTCTTTCCACTTTTCATGTTGCCTCTCTAATTTCTCTATGTGAGTTTGGATGTGTATGTCATGACTTACTAGATTGTAAGCTTCTTGTGGACAGTCCTCTGTGCATAGATGTGGTCACTTTCCTGCTCTGGTGGGACCCTTGCTTTACAGCCTCATCTTTTATCACTCCCCTCAGGGCACATTATGCTCCACTTCCTGCTTCCTGACCACGACCCTCACTGTCCAGTCTCTTCTCCCTGCTCATGCTTGACCTGAATCTGAAATGGCTTTCCTCCTCTTTCTCATGGATTGTGCTGTGGCCCATCTTTTTTTTTTTTTGGCTAGACAATGGGTTGCCCAGGGTCACAAAGTTAGTAAGTGTCAAGTGTCTGAGGCCGAATTTGAACTCAGGTCCTCCTGACTCCAAGGCCAGTACTCTATCCACTGCACTCCGTAGTTGCCCCTCTGGGCCATCTTTTAAAACCCAACTGAAAGCAGCTGTTTTCTTTATTCCTCATTATACCTGTTTACCTTATTGTTCATAATCTTCCACTTCAAATTTCTTACAGTGCATAATTTTGTACTTCTATTAGGCGCTGATTGTGTTTTATTTGGTTTTGGGTTTTTTTGTTTTTGTTTTTGTTTTTTTTTTTTTTGGTGAGGCAATTGGGGTTAAGTGACTTGCCCAGAGACACACAGCCAATAAATGTTATGTGTCTGAGCCTGGATTTGAACTCAGGTCGTCTTGACTTCAGGGCCAGTGCTCTATCTACTGTGCCACCTAGTTGCCCCGATTGTGTTTTATTACCCTACTGTACTATAAGATTCATTATGGTAGGGCACATCTTATGTAAACTGTATATCTAGCCTAATCCCTAGCTGTGTGTCCCATAAGCATAAGGGGTGACCTTAAGCATAGTATCTAACACAATACACTTCATGTAGTAGGTGCTTAATAAACATTTGAATATATGAAGAGAAATTACCATGCAATGAGGGAAGGAAAATCTAACACTCTGGAATTAGTGATTAGAAAATTGAAAAATCTTTTCTTAATGTGTTTAAATATGTATTTTTAATAAATGAATGAAAAAGCATTTATTAAGCATTTACCACGTGCCAAACACAGTGCTAAGTGTTGAAGATACAATGCAAGAGCCGCGATGGTCAGTCCCTGACCACAAGAAGCTTACTTTCTAATAGGGGAG